AAAAATGAAGAACGTACAAAACCTCCGAGCTTGATTAAATTTTGCTCGACGAACGAAAAACACCGTCTCGTTAATTAAGATCAATTTAGTGGCTGGAACACAATCCCTAAAACTCCCCAAGGCCCAAAGGGTTCTTTCTAATTGCCGTCCATTAGTAGCACGGGTTGCATACCTGAAGATCAATATACCGACAGAGGAGTGCCCCTTATTTTCCCTAATTACAAACCTACTAAAAATTCCAAAATTTATTCATCTAAAAAATATTTAATCATAACCATCTTTCAGGAGGTGTCCATGTTAAAAAAAAAATCAAAACGTCCTTTTTTTTTTAATATTTTCAAAATAAAATTTATTTTTCTTAAATTTTCAGTTCTAAAGCGTTTAAGGATTAAATCTCATACAAGACTTCCTTTATTACTAACAATAAGATGCCAATCAAGACAATGAGACAGTTTTTGGAAGTTTCTACCTAACGAACAGCAGGACAGAGAACACTTCTAGATAATAAAAATATCAGTTGTACCTTTGAATTTTGTTGACTTGTACTCTGACTATTTTTAATATTTGATTATTAATAGATATAACGGAAAGGAATTTAGGGGAAGTAACGGCGACCCCGACACAGTCGACAGACTCTGAGCTGCTATTATTTGCGGTTGGCCGTTTTCGATAAACCAAATGAGTTTTGGAGTTCTCAGGGAGGAATTATGGTCCTTGTGTAACTACCGAAACCAGCCAACCGAGCACAATAATAGAACTTGCTTTGAAACTTGTGACAATTCTAGTGAAATGTCTGACTCTGCACTTGAGATTTGATTTGCATTACGCTGAGTGAGAGTAGATTTCTCCAGCAAACAAAAGGTATTGATTTTCGTATCGTCGCTTGTGTTTGTAAATTTTTGAGCTGGAAAAATATTTGTCCTGCTATGCAGCGGCTTAGTAGATAATGAGGTTGTTAGCTCGGCGGACCAAGCATTAAAGTCGATTTTTCCTGGTTGACAACCCAATTTGCGCTGGGCGGTGGATAAAAGTGCTCGATGTTTGCTGTGATTTGGTACAATGCTTGCATGTGTTTTTGCTCACAATACACGGCCGAAAATTGGCTGGTTGAAAATTTTATGACATGTTGTCATCAATCTGTTTCACGCTCGGTTGCTTTTAAAAGGCGAAGTTACAAAGCAGAGTTCTGAAAAGAATATCTTCTGGTGATAGTTTTAATAAAATGATTATAAATTTTGGTTTACATGTATGTTGAGACTTAAGACCTCAACTTCAAACTTGGTAATGGTAAAATCGCAGTAAAAAACGATAATTTTTCTTTAATAATCTTTCATTCCATTTTTTATTTTAGAATTTTGAATTTGGCTAAAAAATAATAATTTTTCCCCCGTTAAAGGTGCATATTATTTTAAATAAGTTTTGTGTAATTTTTCATTGGAAACTTATAAAATATTTCATTAATTTTTAATTCAAAAAATATGACTTGTCTTAACCTGTCTTCTTTGAAATCAATGTCTTGATAAACTTCAAATCGAAAGTAAAATAAAAATATCCTTAAAATTATTTTTATCCTACAAAATTGAAAAAAAAAAATATTTCGCTTAGAAATTTCCAGCCACATAGGGATTTTTCCATATAATATCGAGACTTATTTTTCATTTTGGCGACACAATATAATTTTCAGCCCGTCTTGCCTTTTTTTATTATTTTTTATTTTTTATTTGAAAACTTTATCAGATCATCAGGCAAATTATAAGAAAATGCACTTTTTCCTCAATAGATATTTTCTGTTACAAAATTTTTCATTATTAGTTAATGTGGCCTGATAAAAACGAAATCTGCTGACAATACGTACCGCACCGAGTCGCCATTAGCATTAGTCTTTCGGAAAAGCTTCTCTTCCACAAAAAAGCGTTTTGTCTCCAAGACGGAAAGCGCCTGGGCGTCTGGAGAGCTTAAGTGTGTGTATGCCGTGTGCGCACGTGAGAGAGAACGAATTAATTCTGCTCGTTCCGCCGGCGAAATTTAGCTTTTGTCTTCTTGGCGCGCGGAGGCACTTTTAGCTTCTCTGGTTTGTTGCTTGACGCTTCACGGCTCGCACATAAATTCCTCCTAAGTCGTGCGCATTTCCGAGTTCAATGGTTTTCCTTTCGCAACGCAGCACACTGGCAACTGCGACTCGGGTGATTATGAAATCAAATCCGGGGTCGGAAAGCCAGGATTAGTTCATTCGAGTGCGAAGTGCACTTAATTAGTTGACTCGTGCCTTTTGCTCGACTTTCTGGCTCAAGCGTGTACCATTTTTGATAAAAATCGAAGAAATTTATTTATTGTTTTTGAATTATTTTTCTTCTCACTAATTTTGATACAAAAAATGCACAAAATAAGTTAACTAAACCAAAGATGAAGTAGTATAAATTTTTAATAATTGAAATATTGAATATATTTTCCAAATAAGAAAAGTTTTTTTATTTTTACATTTGTAACATTTTTTTTTTGCAAATTGACAATTAAAAACGTCTTAAATTCCTACTTATTAACCTTTTTACTACCAAAAAGTCCAGTAAGTTGGCAATTTTGTCATTTTCTTCCCCGAATTAAAAAAAGACATTTTCGGTCGTTTTTTAAATAAATGCCAATTGGTATAAAATCCCCTGATTCATGCAGAAAATACATTTTTTTTTTAAAAGCGCGGAAAATATTTGATGGACTGACCAAAGCCAAAGCCCTATTAATTTGGTCTCCCACCCAAAATTGAAAAAATGATTCAATGCTTGTCCGTTTTAAATGGAAATCGCGAAAATGTGTTTGATTTGCAATCGTCAGAATAAATAACGTCCACCATCCAGGGATTGGATTCAATGCAAACAATTTTTCACCAGAGGCCCTTTTATTCCCTCCAAACATTGACAAGCTGAACAACGCGCCACTTTTAGGAGAGAGAGAAAAAAAAATCACGTGCCACGAACAGAGACCGAATAAAAATACACATTTTGATATTTCCGTTCAGGCACCCCTGCCGGCGCAAAATGGGCGTTCTATTGTAAAAATACACCAAAAGCTGTACAAACAAAACGCGAATAATTTCAGTTTCGGAACCGTGGATTTTCTCCTCGTTAATCGCGACGAGCCGTGGACCGGCACACGTGCGGCTCCGGCTGTTTGAACATGCAAAGTGTACGAGCGGCACTTAACGCTGTTGTTGTTTTGTGTAAACCAAAGTCAATATTTGTCTATGTTAAACAGCAACGGGTGTGGATTTAAACCAAATTAAGATGTGTCCTACACTGTTATACGCGTTATACATTATTTCGCTAGCTCGCGGCGCTCTCAATTTTGCGACTTGTGTTTTTACAGCGTGGCTGGCGAGGCTCACGAGCTAATTGAATAACCACGCCGCTGCCAGCTCGACTCGCGCAAAAACATAAACGCCTAATTACTGAGGTTGCGGGAAAAACTCATAATTGCAAACCCAGTGGAGCTGAAATATTATGTCCTGCTGCTCACTATTACTTTTTTATCTCATTTCGCCCGGAGTGATGTAAATTTTACTATGTCGGAGTTGACGAAAATTGAGTATTTTCATGCAATAAAAAGTTTCAAAAATATATCAGCAAATTTCGTTTTCACTAAAATTTGTTAATAATAAAAGACAAAGTGTGAAGTGAGAATTGTTTCTATAGAAAGGTTAATAAAAACTTCTACAGTCTTGAATTTAAACAAATTTTATATAAGAAATTAAAATTTAAGTGTTTGCACGAAGTCTGAAGAGTTCAATTTTCACTAAAAGTTTTTTAAAGGAACTAAAATGAAATAAATATTGAAATAAAAATTTATGAGGGTATTTATTTTTAAAAAAGTTTCTTAAAAAGGAATAATTGATAAAATATTTAACGATATTTTGAATATTGTTCTATTTAATTTATAAGTTTGAATTAAAATCATGCAAAAAAATACTTGATAATATGACAACTTTGATATTTTGATATTTATTAGTTACCAAAATATAAAAGTAACAACATAATTAGGTCCATAAAAGAACAAAATTTCTTAAATTCAATTTAATATTTTAATTTCGTCAACTAAATTTTTAGATTTTATTTTCTGCTCCAGTTAACAAGTACAAGTGGCTCAATTATCATTATTTGCAAAGCTAAGAGGATGCCAGAGAACTCCTCTGTGCCTTTTTTACTCTTCATTTTGAGCCGGAAAATTGGCTGGGCGGACAATTTAAGCCAGCAGCACACATTATGCAAATGGTTTGCACTTTGCACGTTGTGGAGCTGTGAGGTTTCAGTGTGGAAGGACGATGGGCGGACACGGGTTCGCGTTGGGGCCGGTGCCAAATAGTTCACAATCACTGCAAAGCACTGCATCTGCACTCGCAAAAAGCGCATGAACCGACCGACAACAAGTACCGCCGAGCATAATGGCGGTGCAGAGAGGCTTGATCGATAAGATTGAAATTGCACAGTGTGGACATCAACAAAAACATCTCATACAGATCGTTTTGATAGAGGGAACAAATTAAAATCAAAGGGATTGCATGAGAAATTAAACAAAATTTAGTTAACGGGAATCTCTAGGATTATTTGTTTATTATGCTACTTCCATCTGGTAAAAACTTAAATTCAAGATCCGTTGACAAATAAACAATAATAGTTAAGTATCAAGGTTTCTTCACACACACAAATTGCTACAAAATTTCGTTTTCAAAAGTCTTTACTGGAAAGGAACTTTAATTAAAAAATTAACGCAAATAAAAATGGGTAAAAATGTATAAAATTAAAATACGTATTATTTTATTAGTTTCTCGTAAAAAAAATTGTTGGTGAATAAAATCTTTAATATAAAATATAGTGTTGGCATGGTTGTGATGCCTTTTGAAACTTGAGCGATATTGGCAAAATAAACAGCGCCGTCTCTCTCTTTTGGGTTCCTTTCTCTGCTGCTGGGCACGTACATAGACTGGTGTAAATTGAGAGCTTTTTCTTTTGCAGCTGAGGAGATAACGGACGTGGAGATTGGTGTTTGCGGCTGGATCCTGACAGTGATATCCTGGATCATCGTCTTTTGCACGTTGCCCTTCTCCCTCTGTGTGTGCTTCAAGGTGAGATCATTTTCTGCATCAAACCCTCTCCAAAATATTGCCTCGCTGATCATTGTTAAAAGAGTTTAGAAGATTTTCACTTTTTTTTTTTAACTAAAAAAATTTGATGAATTATAAAATAAAAACTCAAAATTTGTGTTGGAAGTAACTTTTTACAACAAGGAAAAAGAAGAAATATAAGGAAGTTCAATTAAAAGAAGAAATAACTTTCTCTTTCATTGCAATTTATCAGTTCTTATTCAAATGGTCAATTTATCGTTTATAATAAATTTAAGTGGCATGAATTCAAACATGTTATGTTATTTTCCCCCAACATTAAGTATCTCTCTTCCTAATGAATCGAAATTTTGTTTACTTTTTCCTAATGATAATATAAATTAAAACCATTGCTTTGCAACTCATTTATGTTTTTCTTATGATGCATGCATAGGAGAATTTTTGTTTTTGCAAAACACAAATTTAAAAATTTGTCTGTTTGTTTTTGTTTGCTTGTAAGGAGTAAAAAGGGCGAAATTGGAAGTCACGAGTTTTGTCTTTTTATCTTCCTTTCTTCTTACACTTGCCTTTTTGCTCCAAGTAGAGGGTCTTGGTGGTGCCTGCAGTGACACATTTATTAGCGTGCAAAAGCAAAAGGCGTGCTGGAGGTGCTGCAGGCGGCGGACACATAAATTCGTCGGCGGCACCTGCAGGCGGTCGCGCGATATTATGGTACTGAAATTGAATTTATTGGCCGCAGGTGGTGCAGGAGTACGAGCGGGCCGTCATCTTCAGACTGGGTCGCCTCCTCTCCGGCGGGGCCAAAGGACCAGGTAAGAGAGAGGAAAAAATATACATATCCTCTTTTTTTTTATCTCCGCCCGCCTTCCGTGTATATGCAAATCCGTCTTTATTCACCATTCAACTCGATATTCGTGTCGAAAAACGCAAAAGATGCATGGGAGGCGGAAAAGTCGGTTGGGGTGGAAGTGGGTGGAAGGAACGTAAGATCAGCACAAATGAAATCGGACTCTCGCGCGCACATATTTCACTGGCTTTGGTATATGGCGTGAGATCGCGATTTGGGAATTGAAAAAAAATGTGAATACGTTTTCTATCTTTGGAATGTATGCGTATTTCTAAATCACTTGACAATGTGGTTTTTGTTCCTTTTTATTATAAATTTTCCATTTAGTCCCCTAAAGGCCCTAAATTGTTTTATGTGTAAACATATCATTGATATTTTAAAATTTTAACTGGTGAAAATGTCTATAAATATTTCCAAAGAAACAAATTTTCAGGCTCAAATTTTGGATGTGAAAGTCCCAGGTGAAGACGTTTGTAAGAAAAAAAATTATATTCGTCTTCTTTTATTTTTAGCAAGTATTTTTTTTTTACAATTTGAATGAAAATAATATCATTGATATTTTAATAATGAATCTAAATTTATCATGGCACTGAGTATTAAAGTATTGAATTTTTTAAAAAAGAATCTATAATAGAATGTTCTAAAGAAAATTTGATTGCAAACATACTGCAAATGTTAGTTGTGAAACGTTAAAAAAAGTCCATACAACTCTGTTTTAATCCTCTCTATTCTTTTCGTGCAAAAAGTCGGACGTGCTTGCTTGTCGAGCAATAATAAAATCTGCACAGCTTGAAATCCGAAAATTCTTTGTGCCGAAAAACACATTTCTAACGCAACCTGTTGCCAAAGCTGTGTTCCCGGCTGCCTACCTCGCCAGGGGGCGAATAAGCGAGCACAGTGAAATGTTGATTTCAACACCACCCACGCGCTCTCTGTAATTAGCAATTCAATTAGATCAATGGCCGGATCATCCCTGTTGGTTCAAAGTTAAGGTTGCCAGAAACTCGAAAATGCCAAAAATCGAGTCGGTTGGAAAATCTTTTCAGAGATTGAAAATTATATCAAACGAATTTTCTTTCTTGATATAAAATTGCATTTGATGGTTGAAAAAGTCATATTTCTTTTGGTGCAGGTTGGATTTGGCAATCCTAATTGTGCGAACCGCCACGCGTGAGGCCTGAAATTGAAATGCTCGCTTGTGCGTGGGTGCCGATTTGATTTGCGTCGGTGGACTCGCCTTTTTGTGCTTTTGGCACTGTTTTGGCCAGATGTTCCATCTCTCCACCCCGCAGATCAATCATTGGCCCTTTGTCAAGATGGTTTTGGCTGCCGGTCATCCTCCACCCCTGCTGTTTTACGGGGCCAAGTTTGTGGAATTATGTGAGACCAAAGTGACGATTATTTTCACTGCATAGATGATCCCAGCTTAGTGTTTTGGTCTTTCCGGAATCCGCAAATTGCACCATTTTTTCTTAAAATAAAAATGTATGTCTTAAGATTTGTTTCTTCAGTGAGGAAAATCGTCTTAAAAATTTTTTTTGCGGGTTTTGAGAGCATAAATTAGTATTGATTTATTTAAAATCATAATTTCGTGATTACATAAAAATTTAAATTTTTAGTAAATTTTCTAGAAATCTATCATATTTTCCCCTATTTCTTAAAATATTTTCCGAGCTACTTTTTAAGAAGAATATTCTGATAGAGCAAAAAAATTTGCATGGAAAATGTAGAAAAAAAATATTAAACTTTTCTGCTGAAAAATAAATTCTAATTAAGAGGAATTTTGAAATCCATGCATAAATCATTTAATTAAAGTGGTAGTAATAAAAATTAAATAGAGAGAGCAGTTTTGCGACTCACAAAGAAACAAGTTAAATTTTAATTAAGTCGGCAAACGTGAGCTTAAAAATGAATTCCTATGTTAACAAGCTGCAGCAGCAGTCGGACGTATTCCGCTGCATACTAATTTTCCAGAGCATCCTCGTGCAAAGATCAAAGCGGCCTTTGAAGTCGCATCGCTGAAACTCACAGAGCGCGAAAATTAATGCTCGGATATCTCTCTCTTCAAAGCAAATTTTTTTATTCGGATCGGGCATAAATGAATTTTTCCACGAATCGTCTTCGTCGCCACTGAATCCTCGCTTGAGAGGTACAAAATGAATATGCAAATATTACCTTCGCTGCTGGCGCTTTTTCGACTAACTAAATCAAGATTAACCGACGCGCGGTCGACGAGAGCTGCTCTCTTCCCTAGATACACAGGCGTGAATTTTTGGGTGTAGCTGTTTTCCGCAAATTAAATTTGCCTCTCGCGCGCACGCACGTGCACGCATAAATCTCATTTCAAGCCCGAATATGGAAATGAGAAGCTCGGGAAAATATTCTGCTCAGTTTCTTTTGGTATGAAATATATTTTCTCCAAAGCCTGCTTTCCAAAGCAAGCGCATTTGGATTTTCAGTAGAGTACATAGATTGGTAAAAAGACTGAAAGGTAACTCTATAGGCTTAAATTAATTGAAAAAGTCTTATAAAAGACATTTTTGAGATAAAGTCTTTATCAATAAGCAATCATTTCATAATTATATTGAAGTAAAATAAAATTCAGATATTCTATCTTCATTTTTCTTTTGGCAATTATTGTAATTTTTAAATAATAATAATAACTTGTATCAAATATATTATTTAAAAAACAAACAAATCATTTGATATCTGTTTCAATTAAAATTTGATGTAAATTTTATACAAAAGGAAAATTTATTATAATATAACTTTGCAAAAATTTTAGAAGAAAGAGCAAAAAAAAATTGCTAATAAGTCATTACTTAAGAATTTTAGTACTGAGGTCATATTTTGTCTCACATATTTAATCACAACCAGAATGAATTAATTCGCAAAAATTCAGTGTCTGAATGAATTTAAAATTCATAAAGAAGAACCAAATAGCTTTTTTCGTCAGTCTTCATTTATGAATTACTGTATTTTTGTGATGATTTGTCATTTTTACAGTTTTTCTCCGGAAGTGCAATTGTCACTGTTGTGACACGAGAGGGGAAGAAACGGAATTGGGCATTTCTTTTTTCTTTTATGATGTCTTCCGCTTCGAAAATTAATTTTTAACTTGAGTTCCCCTCTTTTGACAGAGTTGGGAAATGAAATTCGCAGCGGTACTTGAGCTCCACATTTCCGTGCGCGCCCTTTGAAAGCTTACTTGAGCAAAGAACGCACTCGCGTTCACGACGAAATTCAATTAGCTGGAATCGATCCGGGGGCCCAATTCCTCCGCTGGAGCGCAAACAAAGCCCCAGAGTTTGCAAATCACCCTCGTGCTTGAGCGACAGGAAAGACGTCTCTAGTCACACAGACCTGTCAGCAAGCAAATCCCGGACACGTCAAGTTGCAAGAGGGATCCGCGTGTGCGATTCATTGAATTGCTAATGATCTGCTCTCGCTGGCACTTTTCCGCGCTCTATCCATATATGTATGTCCCGGTGCTGCATGATTTATGGGGATCAAAAAATATTTCGTTTGAAGATCAAAATTTACCGCCATAGCTCAACATTTTTTTCTAATTATTGCAAATATTTAAAACTGAATATTAAAATTTAGAGAAAAAAAATTCATTTTAATGTATGTTACTCAATTTTTAGATTGAATTTCAAATAATAAGGTATTTTTTTTTATTCTTGGGAACCTGGGATTGGAAAAAAAGCATTATTGTAGAAATTTTTTGCAGCAAATTAAAATTGTTAGTTTTAAGACAAAATTTTATTAAAATAAATGGTTTATAGTAATGAATATTTACTATGCTTTATCATGTTTTTAGCTTTAATTTGGAAGAAAGCATAAAAATATTAAATAGATTTAATTTTGACAAATTAAAAAACAAATTTATAATTAGTTTTTAGTAAAGTTTGATGAAAAGTGAAGGAAATTCCTTTGTTAAAATACTTTATTTTGGTTGGGTTTGCCAGTATCCATAATTCAACAATTGATAATTGAGTTAGTTAAATTAAACATTATCTATTAAATTAAATTCAGCATTGTTCAAACCTTTCAAACAAAAATCCCAGTTAAGCATAAATGAAGTGATAAATTATTAAACTTTTATTTTTTTATCTGTTTTTTCAAATATACAATTTTGGTGAAAACCATATTTTTCATTTAATAAAAGCAAAGTATTTAAGTATTTTTAACTGAAAAAATTTATATCAGAATAATAGAAACCAAAATAATAAAAATAAATTAAAAATAAACCTTAGATAAATCAAAATTGCATACTTATCTGACGTTCAAAATCTTATTTTCTAGAAAAATTATTAATAAAAACAATCTTGCCCACTTTCTACTGACACACAAAACTGCGTTCTCTCTGTTGCAGGCATCTTCTTCATCCTGCCGTGCATCGAGACGTACACCAAAGTTGACCTAAGAAGCAGCGTTTTCGACATTCCGCCGCAGGAGGTGCGTGCGTAATTAATTAATTAATTGCGCAGTTAAGGCTGCCACGCAAATTAATGAGGGCGCGCCTAATAAAGTTTGTTTGCGGCTTGCTTGCTACCCCGAGTGCTAACTATGCACGCCCAACTTCTCTCTTGATTCCGCAAACAATGGCACTTTTGAGACAAAACAGGCGCGTTAATCCGCCCGAGCAAAAGTGAAAGAGCCGCGTGTGTGTTCGCAAATGAGACTTTTGCCCTCTTGTGCATGTTTTGGGTAGGCAATCGGGCGCGAAATGACTTTGACCCGCTTCGGTCCGCGCGGCTAATTGAACGATTTATTATTAAAACGAGGGATTTAATGCATTAATGCGACATTGCCCTGATACACTTCCCACCAATAATTTATTCCGATCGGTATTGATTTAATCAGTTTGATGATGAAATTATGAACTGCGCACTGCTGCTTTTTTAAAGGTCGCGTAAAATGAGGTTTTTTTTAACCGTTTTGCTTTGTTTTCTGTCATAATATTGGAAATTGGAAAACACCAATGAAATGTTTTGCTTTGACAAAAAATAAAAAATTGGCGCTCGCAAAAAAAAATGGTGAAATGCCACTTGTGAAAATAAAGGGAACGGAAGAGGGTTTAATTAAACGAAACTCATTTTTTTACATTTGACAAAATTGAAATTTTCCATATAAAAAGCCTTTTTCAATTGTTTCACAAGTGCGGGAAAAACCAAATATATGATTCAAAATTTATTTCCATCAAATTTGATTTGTTAAATTGAGTTTCAAATTAATACCGTTCTACACAATAAACTTGTATATTTTACCATTACATTTGAATCCTCATAAATTTTAATCACTTTTACTTTTTCCTTTGCGCCATTTGTTTTTAAAAATCAGTAAAAAAATATCTTTCCATTAAAAAAAGAAATTCAATTAAAATAATGACTCTGAAAAAATATTCACAATTTAGGATTTTTCAATTATTAAATAAGTTAATCCTCTGATATTAAAATCTGACCGACCTATTTAAGAAATTCACAACGTTTGTTCCAAAATCAGTCCAAAAATTAATTATGGTGTTAAACGTGTTAAATAAGGCGCCATTCTAAATTCACTAATAAAAATGCTTGACATTTGTTCTCAAAATTGACTTACAATTAGTAAACAACACAATATTATCACATTTTCAATTTTTCAGATTTTGACACGTGACAGTGTGACCGTGTCTGTTGATGCGGTGGTCTACTACAGAGTGTCAAACGCCACCGTTTCAATCGCAAACGTAGAAAATGCTCACCACTCGACCCGTCTCTTGGCTCAAACGACCCTCAGGAACATCCTCGGCACGCGCCTGCTCCACGAAATCCTCTCCGACAGGGAAAACATTCAAGCATCGATGCAGGTCCTATTTTGTTGAATTTTGATTTTTTTTTTCTATTTTGATCATTTTACAATTGAAAGAAAGAAATTCATCACCTGATAGTTAACAAATATCTTTCTGTGTTTCTTCCACGCGAATTTGTCCAAAGTTTGAAGGCAGGTCATTAATTTTTAAGTCACTCAGCAGAAATGCAAACTTTTTCATTATAAATCCTTTTTTGGAATACAGATTCACGCCAAGTTGGCTTTCGCTGAAAAGTCAAACTTCAGCGAACTTCCCTGCCTTTTTCAATTCTCCTTCCCTGCGCACCAAACTTGTTACTCTAGTTGGTCTCGTATTCCTTCAGATACAATATTCACGACTCGGCACCGTATTAAGCCTAAACTTTTGATTAACTTGGTTAACTAACGCCAGAGCAACAGTGCGCGCGTTGGAAATTTCACCTCCGCCTTTCTCATCCGTGCACCTGATGAATTTTGCAGAGTTCGTTGGACGAGGCAACTGACGAGTGGGGCATAAAGGTAGAACGAGTCGAGATGTAAGTCTTTAAACTTCAATCAACGCGATCCCTTATTAAAGGCCCTCCTCAGTAAATCTTTTTTTCATTCAAAAGAACACTAAATTTTACGCCTGAAATGGAAATTGATTTTAACACAAATTCGCACTCTTTAGTGATTTATCAAAGGTTAAAATTTTCCTGGCTAAAGCATTTAAAACTTAAATGAAGACTGTTGATGGTTTTCTAAATTAATAAAAAGTAGATAATATAAGAAAAGGTATTAAATTTAGATCAACGACCTCCTGAAAAGGTTAAAATAAACCTCCAATGAAACATTTTTTCAACCTATTTCCTATTTTTTCAACCGTGATTTCAATTTCAGTCGTGAAATTTAGCGTTCTTTTAACTTCTAGAATAAAACTCTTTACCGCAGGGTAAAAAAAACACAAAATTTTATAAACAGATAGAAACACACTTATCATAAAAAATGCAAATCTCACTCAGAACAGTCAATTCAGAAGCCGCTGCTGAGTGCTTGCGGCTGAAACGCACAAACCGCACTCACTCTCACAACCAGTTGAATAATTTTAATGAAACGCTACTCTCGGTGAGCCACCCTGGCACGAACTTTGGAGGAAGCGAGTGCGGGGGTGGCCATTCGAGAGAGTGACCGCCGGTCGTCTCTCCGCAGAAAAGACGTGCGCTTGCCCGTGCAACTGCAGAGAGCAATGGCGGCCGAAGCCGAGGCGGCTCGCGAGGCGCGGGCCAAGGTCAGTCCTACCTGCTGCTCACCACCTGCGCCCCTCGCACCCTCCGCAACCCCCAATGCGACCCGATTTATTGGCACTCGGTGCACGCCAAAGCAGAGAGTTCGGCGAATAAATACAATTGCAGTAGATTTCCGGTTTAAATTATTATTCGAATTTTTTGTGTGCTCTGGTATTGTTTGACTTTCAGTCTGTGCAGCAGTTTAGATCGATGCGACAGTTGTGTAAATACCTGTTGGCAGTCGCGGGTTGACGACCCCTGGCATTTGGGCAACTCGTAAGCTGCGTTTGTTTGCTTAATCCTCTCCTTTTCATATCTCCCGAGTTTTCGATATTGATCCAAGCGTGTGGTTTTCTGTTTTCCCTGAGAGGGGTTTCTCCTTTTCCCTGAGTGCGTGTGGGTGTTTGCCATCTCACGATGACAACTTTATCTTTCCTGCTGTGGGCGCATTATACGCGCATTAGAAACCTACCCTCTCATGTTGCATTCTAATCCGCACTTCATTTTAACATCACCCGTTTCTGTAGCATTATAAAAGCACTCAGGCTAAGGTTGCACCTCAGAAATAGATTAAAAAAAAAAATACTTTAATTTTTGGTCTATGAAATGCTTTAAATTTGTAATTTCTTTAAATTTTTGAATATTTATTTCGTGAACTTGTTCTAGAATTCAGCTTGATTTTGTCACTGATGCAGGTCAGAATGCCTAAAACAAGCAGGATCTTGAACAAAAAATGTTTAATTTCACGTGTTTTTTTCATTTTCATTTAAAATATATTTACCTTTTCAAAAACAAGTAGTAGAAATTAATTCAAAATGTTCTATATTATAAGAAATAATTATAAAATTATTTTTTAAAAAGCCGTATTGATCTCAATTGTTGAAAGACTCACAATTAGAAATTGGACATCACCAGAGCATGCTTGCAAATATTGTACCAGGATAATAATAAATAATTACATAAACTTATTAAAAAAATCTACTAATCCTCGCCAAATCGAAAAAAAAAACATAAAACTCTAAATCTACGCCTGCCTGCGAAAATAAACAAAAAGAAAATTGCATTGCGATAAATTTGATATAAAAACCGTCCAACTGGGAATTCACCAGTAAAACCCGCAAACGTAACCGCTGACAGATAAGGAGGCGCTAAATAACACTACTTCTTGCTTAAATAACCAAAGACGCTCGGGCGAATTATCGCGTTCTAAAGCTCCGACGGTTCCGGCGGGACGATAAAAGCAGATCGATCACCGTTCGCGGCGATAAACGCAAAAGGATACGATCGCGGTGGGAAAAAACGTGTCATTTGCAGCGCCAGCGGCGACTTGTTGGCAGAGGCGTCATCCTGGAAATTGATGCCTGGCCGCTTTTTTTGCGAGAAAAAAAACTCTCTCCCTCTCTCTTGTTGCGAAAAGAGACATTAAAAATGAACGAGCCACTCTCTGCGTGCCGCTTTTATAGCGACGAGTGTGGGGGTTGCGGGGGGTGCGCGGGGCTGAGACAGGGATAAGGTCAGTCCTATGGGTCCATCACCTCTTGGTCACTCATCAATCGGTCTTGTTGTAGCGAAAATAATAAAAAATGCACACGCCCGACACAAGAACGAACCAACGGCCCTCGAGTTATTTTCAATCCGGTCATGCAAAATTCACTATCGCGGGCGGGATCGCTCACGAGACGGCGCCTGTGCACCCTTAAGTGTTTGAACTTCTGCGAGTGCCTTTAGTAGCCAAGGGAATATTGGAAAGTATTGGGGAAGAGGGACTGCATCGGTAAGGCTGGTGAAAGGAAAAAGAAGAAGCGTCAGCAAATTCACTCGGAATCGAATAAAATTCAATTTTCTTTATTTTAAATGTAATTCTTTGTAAAAGCTATTCTTATTTGATTATTGTATTTCGTAAAATTAATTCTGACACTAGATCTTTGATAACTATTCATTCTGATTAAAAATATATATTTTTTTTTTAAATTTGGAATATTTTGAGACCTTTTTATTGTTCTTTTGTTACGCGTTCTACTGCCAATTTAAAATTTATTGAACTTTCCTATCTTTTTGCTATCTATGCTGTCGTAAATTTTAGAACAAAAATAAAATTTAAAAGATAAGATTTATATAATTAAAATCGTGTATTTCTGCAAACTTTGCGAAAAAAGCTTGTGTACGAAACGACTTCTACAGGAATTTGTAGTCTAACAAATTGCCTTATCTTTAAATTAGTAAAAATGTTATTGCGAGTCTGTTTCTTTAACTTAACAAAATCTTGAAAATTTTCTATTGATACAAAATTTCGAATCAGATAATATTATTATTTTTAAAGAAAAATGCTTGAAGGCACTCAGACTGAAATAAAAAGGGAACAAGATTTGTAATTAATAATAAGTTTTATGTTTATTTTTTTACGAATTAATGCAAATTTTTGCTTGCAAAGACAATTTCATATATGAAAATAAAAAAGGAATTTATTGTGTGATTTCCTTTCTAAGCGAAAACAATATGGGGCAAATAGTTTAAAAAACGATTAGCCGGCATCACTCGCTTAATGTCAAAGTCGATCACCTGATGATAAATTGATTATGCAACCGGCTGGGCACGCCTGTTGTGCGCTTCGCCTACTTTAAAAATATCGATAAAAGTCGTTAGGGTCGCGCTCTCGTGACTATTGCGAAGGAAAACTCATTCTCTTTTCGCGCAGAATAAATATTTCATAATTTCCGCCGACGGTGGGATAGAAAAATTCAAGGCAGGTGAGGCAAAGACGAATCATTTCCATATTTTCGTGCAGTCGCCGCAGACTTTCACAAATCGCGCGTGAATTATGAAACGCGGTGTGGCTATTAATCGCAGAAATTTATGGAGCTGAAAAACGGTGTGTGTGCGGAGGGAAAAAAGCCAAAAAACGGACGCATTATAAAGCTGTTAGCTTGATGAGGCAAAAATCGCCGAGTGGCAAAAAGGCGCCGTCTCGTGAGCTCCACTCTCTCTCAGATAAAAAAGTGATCAAGCAGGCCGAATGCGTCGCACAGATGGGGTGGGTCGTGACGACGGACGGGGTGGGTGGGGTGGCCAGGGTTTTTGCTGACGAATGTTTTTGTCGCGGCTAGGTGATCGCCGCCGAGGGTGAGCACAAGGCGTCCCGGGCCCTGAGGGAGGCCAGCGAGATCATCGGCAACTCGCCGGCGGCGCTGCAGCTCCGCTACTTGCAGGTACCTGTTTTTCCTCTTATCTCTCTCTACGGGGGTGGCCGTAACTCTACACTTTTGACAGTTCGCAGCAACTTTTTTCCCGGCCGAAATTCGAGTCTGTGTGCTTTCGCTTTGTTTATTTGCAGAGGAGGAAGGATGCTGCGAAAGCAGGGAGATAAACATTACACAGTAGTTTTCTGTCGTGTTTTCTTGCTCGCCACTTTTGAGGTGAGGTAAACAAGATTGCTGCCAGCTGTTACTAAATTGGGATGGAGCAGGATCATGTTGCTTCAAATAAACATTCAATTTATTTGGAGAATTTCAATGAAACAAGAAACAAACAATTATTTTTTTTTTTAATATTTTTTAATTAAACTAAAAACTTTTAATGATTTTATTTTTTGTTTGTCAATTAATATAAATTTATTTTATTTATTATAGACATTATAAAAATTATCATCATATTGCTATTTTTTTTAAGTAAATTTTTTTTTTGTTTTTTTTTAAATAATATGTTCAAAATTTACTCAAATTATATTTAGTATATATTCATGCGGTACCTTCAAATGCAAATGTTTTCCAGTCAATGGAAATTTTACGAAGGTGTCTCTGGTTCTGAATGGAGCCGACGGTTATACATGATAATAATATTTTGGTTATTTTTAGACTTTTATATTTTTTTAATAGAAAATTTTTCAATGGAGAAAAAGCTTGTTATGTCTCTTGCAATTTTTTAAGATTCGTTCACCTAATGAAGTGATAATCTTTAGCATGCTTTTGTCTTATTGTAATTGATATAAAGTTTATTTTTTTATTTATTTTTTGCTTACAATTAGTTGCTTTTAAGCTTCAATTAAAGTTTAAGTGAAGAAAAAAATTCATTTCTTTTTTAACGATTCAATTCTGCGAAAAGAATACTAAGCTTCACCATATCATGATTATAAATCTTCTTTTTTTCTGTAACAACCATATTCTTTGGTTTTCTAAATATTTAGGTTCCTGCTTCAAAACTGCATATTATTTGCATAACTAATTAATTTTTTTATTTCTTTTATAAAAATTGAAGTAAGAATTTTCTCAAAAATCGCAGAGTTTTGTTGGAAATAATGAATTTTTGCTGGTTCCACACTTAAAAATTTGCCAAATTTAGTTTATCATTTGTTTTTCCACAAAAGTAGTTGATTTCAGTTTATTATTTCTGTTTTGATTGATTTTTAACATTTAAAAAAATTTCATGATTCATTCTCGCTTGATGATATAAGACGTCTTCCAAAAACAAAAAAAAATTGACTAAAATTTAGTTTTATTTTTCCAATTTTCATGACAGTAATGTATAAAAAAAAAAAAAAAAACTAGTTGAGAGTTTCCCAAATAAAAAAATCCCCCTCGCCATACAAAATACTTTGAAACTAAAAACATGGGCCTGAAGCGTATGTTTCCTCCCTCTCAGTGGCAAGCTGGGGCCGAAATCGATCTTTTATGTATTTATTTTGGTCCGATTCTAAATCTAATTTGTCTGGAAGCGCCTGAAAAACCGCACGCCGTGTGTATGCGAATGTGAAACTTTCACTGATGAAAATTAGTATAGCCGTGGCGCTTTTGGCAGCTCGAATATTTTGCACGCAAAAAGGGCGCGCGCGCGTGAGGATCAGACGGCATGCATGAGTGTGTTTTTCCGCTCCACAGTCATATTTTAAGCAGGCCGCTTTTTGCTCTGAATTTATTTGCAGACCCTGAACACGATTTCGGCGGAGAAGAACTCGACGATAGTGTTCCCCCTGCCCATAGATTTGCTGACGTACTTCATGAGAGCGCGAGGAGGAGCCGACTCGGAACCCTCCGCCGCCAAGTAGGGTCGAGCGCTGCAGAATGGGCCTCGCCAATTATAATTTCCACTCGGCTTGCTCTCGCTCGCCAAAATGTGTCGTCGTCGAAATCGTCTCTCTCGTCATCGCCACTCGCGTGCGCCAATTACTACAAGATAGAGCCCAATTAATTTCGCTCCCCGGAAAACAACGAAATTTCTGATATAAAAACTGTTTTGTTCTCCGTCTTCCATTGTTGCTCTCTCACAACGATATTGGCAGGGAGCAAACTCATCTTTTCACACTTTCATTCGCGGCGAGTTCTCATTGTTGTACATGTAAATTGTAATATTGTTGCGCGTCGTTTCATTGGTGTTCTCTCCTTTGTATGTATTGCAAGTATAAAAGGAGGCGTTTTTAATGTAAGATGAGAACAATTGTTTTGTGCTAAAAACGAGACGAAAACTATAAAATGTTGCGTGGGTCCATTTCCGATACACTGTGTGTTATTATTCACAAGATTTATGCGTGTTGTGTGAGACCAAAATCACAATTCAATTTAAAACTTATGTGTGTATATCTCTTTGAGTGTCAAATTACACGTTTTGCAATTTTTCATCGTGAATGGTATAAAATGTATGCTTTATTCAAATGTGACGGGACAGTGGCAGAAAAAAATCCATTTCAACTCATCAATTAACAACAAAAAATTTTATGAAAAATTGAAAGCAGATTTTCCTCGTTAAAAAGGTGAAAAGTAAAAATGAAGATCCGCGGACTGCAGGTAATTTCTGATAAAAAAGGACTTCAGTCAACGAGGTACAAAAGCACACTTTGAATTTTTTTAAGCTAACTAAATCGGTCACGAAATTTATGCTTAGATTTATTTTAAATTTCCAGCGCAATTAACCCTAAAACTGATTAGGAAAATTGGCAAGAATTTGGATCATTAATGCAAATTAGCGGGGGGAAATTTTTGATTAATGACCATGAAACTGTTGACCTTCTCAATCTTCAAAATTTTTGAAATATTTTTTTGGGTTCAAAATTAAAATTTATATTTCCATAGAAATTTCACTTCAATTTTATTTAAATTTCAAAAGAAATCTTATTAGGATCGTAAATTCCAGCTGACTGCACCGCAGGTCTTCTTTTGTGACCACGTGGGTGTCACATTTACTTGATCATTGTTTTTTTTAACGAGGATACGCCCTGCTTCAATCTTTCATAAAATTCACCGTAAGTGTTAAATTTAAAAATTACATTCCATTTTGAATACTTTATTACCTGTTTCAGTGAAAGTATTTTGAACAAATGAACAGACAATCAAATTTTAGAGTCGTCTAGAAAAATTCAAATTTATTTAAAAATTCCGAGTTATTCCCTCCCGTCACTAATTTTCAATCTTTTTCCTTCTCACGCAAGACGTTATCTCACTATCATACATTATTAAAATATACTCATCGGTGTTTCGGTGTAATCGGCACAATAAATGATCTCTCAACTGAATGTTCAAACAAACAAATACCTCGGAAGAATAAAAGCATAATACAAGGAGCCGGGCTCTCAAACCATTTGCAGGATGCGTCGGTTCGGCCTTGAAGGAAGACGCAAATGTAATTTCCCGAGGGGCCCCGCGAGACATTATCGCTGGCACCGCGACCGGAATTCATATTTACTCAAAAAGGCATTGGAACAAATCGACCCATTATGTAAAAATATGATAAAAAAAAACGTGCAGGTTCTCAATTATTTATACCGAAATGCGCACTCCTCGATGTGTTGTATTACTTGAAATATTTATTACGTTTGTGTTTTTCATTTTTATTAGTGTCTATCTCACGGTTTAATCATGATCAACATACAAACATCAGAGTCTGCGTGTGTCCCTTGTTCTGCGGAAAAAGAGCTCTCTCGATTCTACTGCAAATTTCACTTATTTAATAATTTAATTAATATTGTATAATCATAAAAAAAGTTCTGATTTTCTTTTTTAGAAAATAGGTGCTTTTTTCGAGAGCAGGGGGCAGGCTTTGACTAAATTAATGGGCTGTGCAACCGTGAAAAATGAAAAATTAACTGTTGGTGTTGATAGATATTTATGCTCTATTAAAAAAATAAGTATATTCAACTGACAGAAAGAACGAGTTTTACTATTTTTGATAAAAAAAAAAAACCTTTTGAACGGACAAAAAAATACAAAAATATTAAATCATAATTCACCGAATTGAAGTTCAATTTGGAAACTGTAAAAAAATTGTTCATTACATTATAAAAATTTTTTATAATTAATTTTGATGAAAGTAATAAAGAAATTAATCCTAACATTGTTTGCTCAGTCTCAATAAAAACTATCTATGCATTAGACATTTTTTTGAAACCCAACAATTTCTGTTATAAATTATAAATAAATTAAGTTAAAATTTACAAAAACATTAATCGTCCAAATCAATTTGTGGATCATTGAAAAATAATCACTTGAATAGGGCAATAATTTTTCATTGATTTTTGATCAAAATTATGGAAATAGACGAGATTTTTAATTATTAATTTATTATCAACTTCGTCGTATATTAAGAAGGAACGGAAAAACAATGATATTGTGTCAACTGCACGCGTCTTTCGCGGCATTCGGATTCAAATACGACCACAGAGCGATGGCCTCTCCCTTGCTGAGCGTTCATTGGTCCGATTCGAGGGTCAACGACCAATCGCATCCGAGTCAGCTGTAAATGAAAGAAAGCCTCAAAAACAACAAACACACAGCTTGGCACAAGGCATTGCATGCAATTTTCTCAAAATCCGTCAAAGACTTTCGGCCGTGATCAAGTCAGGGCCGAGCAGGAGCCTGGCTGCCGATTTTGTCACTGAGACTTTCCCGGTTGGAATGAGAGGAAATCGAAATGGCCAAGGCGAAGACGATGTTTGCGACGCAGGAGGGGCCGGCGAACGCTCTTGCCCTTAACAAAGATTGCAGCCAAGTCGTGATAGCAGGCAGAAATGGTTCAACATAGGCATTAATTCGTTCTAAATCGTCTCATTTGATTATCATTTTCTTTCAGTGTTCAAAGTTTTTAACATAAACGCCGAGGAATTTGTCGAAAATTGCAATCTGCGGGTCGGAAAAAACATCAACTTGAATTTTTCCTGCAACGATGTCGTGTGGAACACTTTTGATGGTACGTTTATTTCCTTTAATTTTCAATCAGGGCTAATTGAATTTGAATTTCAGACAGCATTTTGGCGACGGCAGCCACAAACGGGGCCGTCGTCGTTTGGAATCTCAACAAACCAACCCGGTCGAAACAGGAGCACGTCTTCAACGATCACCGCCGAACAGTCAACAAAGTCAGTTTTCACCCCACTGAGGCGGTGTGGTTGATTTCTGGGTCGCAGGACGGCACCATGAAGTGTTTCGATCTCAGGATTAAAGAGGCAACCCGAACCTTCATAAGGTTTTTATCAAAAAAGAATTGAAATCTCAACTTTTTTGCTAATTTATTAATTTATTTTTCATTTTAGTAAAACTGAGAGCGTGAGGGACGTGCAGTTCAGTCCGCACCAGATGCACACCTTCTCGGCCGTCGCTGAAAACGGGAATGTCCAGTTGTGGGACCTGAGGAAGCCGGACAGGTGTCTCTCCCAGTTTACAGCACACAGTGGGCCGGTTTTTGCTTGCGACTGGCACCCAGAAATGTGCTGGCTTGCCACTGCCTCCAGAGATAAAACTATTAAAGTATGAAAATTAGTTAAAAGCTATTTTTTTTTTTTTACTTAAGTTTTAACATTTCTTTGTGCTACCTGATCCATTCCTGATCAATTTTAGATTTTTTTTCTCACATTTAATGTTTAATAAATTTATTTCATGTGCTTAAAGGAAAATGATTTGTCATAATTTTTGTTATTCTGATGTTATTTACAGGTTTGGGACTTGACGAGCAAACCCAGCCTCGAGTACACCATTCCAACCATCGCCTCTGTCGGCCACATCAAATGGAGGCCACAGCGAAAGCACCACATAGCAAGTTGCGCCCTCGTCGTCGACTGCAGCGTCAACATTTGGGACATCAGGAGGCCGTATATTGCATTTGCCTCGTTCAACGAACACCAGGACGTGGCCACAGGCGTTGCTTGGAGGGGCGACCCTCACATCCTCCTTTCGACCAGCAAAGTAAATTTAAAACTAAATAATTTTTCAAAAGAATTTTAACGTGGATTCAGAAACTGAGCGAGAAAACCAATGCTCGGAAAAACGAATTAAAATGTCCAAATTTCAACTTTTAATTGGAAATTTTAATTATTTTTAAAACAGATTAAAATTTCTGTTTTAAAATAATTAATATTAATTCGTTTTTCCGAGCATTGGTTTTCTCGCTCAGTTTCTGAATCCACGTTAAAATTCTTTTGAAAATTTAATACAGAAACTGGAATACACTTAACAACGCAAACACGACACAACTCTACATTAAAATTTACAAAAAAAACACACTCACACTAACAAATTAACAATAAATATTTTTTATTGAGAAATGGATAGAAAATCAAACATTTGTTTTTTAGGATTTTACTTTGTATCAACATGTGTTCAAAGACGCAGCTCGGCCCGAGAGCAAAGCAAATCCACAGGGCATTTCCTTCAACAGCAAGGGAGACATGTCTTTCTCATGCAAAATCAACATCAACCCTGCCACTTTGTCAAAACTTCCAGCACTTTTAAGGTAATTCACAATTTTGTTCAAGTTATGTAGTTGATCATTAATACCAACAAGGCAATAAAAACGATGGATCTGATTAATTTTGATCATTTCTCATTTCCTTTAATTTAAAATGTTAAAAAGGAAACTGCTTGGTTTTTTTTTTAACATTTAGTTGAGACACAGGAAATAAAAATATTCTGATTTATTTTGAATTCATCCATGAAAATGAAATACAAATGGAAATAGCACCATTCTTTCTGACAAAATTTGACCCCTGGTTCAGAACGGGAACGGGTGAAGAACTGGTGTAGAACTGATGCAGAACAGCTGCAAACCGGTTCTGCACTAAGTCTGTACCATTTTTGAACCATGTCTGCACTAAATCTAAATTTGAACAATTTTTATACAAAAAAAAAATTAAAATTCCTTAAAAAATTTAAAAAAATTATAAATTCATAATTACATATATATCCATGAAAATGAAATGTAAATGGAAATGGCACGATTTTTTCTGACGAAATTTGACCCCTGGTTCAGAACTGGCGTACAACTGATGCAGAACAGCTGCGAACCGGTTCTGCACCAGTTCTGTACCATTTTTGAACCAGGTCTGCACTAATTCTAAATTTGAACAATTTGAATGTAAAAAAAACTCCTTACAAAATTTTAAAAAAAATATATAAATTCACAATTCATTCCTTTTTCCAGAAAAACCCCACTGCACAGTGACCAGTTTTGCCAGGTTACTAGTTCGATGCACACATTTGTATCAAAGGCACAAAAAGAAGTCAAGTGTTTTTTGGAGTGTGCCAAACGTTATCAACTGTCGGGGAAACCTCTCGCCGAACTTTGTGATCACAATGCTGCTGTTGCAAAGCAGCTTGGGAGGCATCAGGTAAGGGAATTATTAAGAAAAATCCTCATTTGATCATAAAATTTGTAATTATGATATTTAAAAAAAAAAATACAAAATTGTATTTTCTAATGGCAAACAAAATTAAATGGAAACACTAACTAAAGGTGGCTAAATTCCATATATTCTTATTAAAAAAATGTTTATTTTCAATAAAAATATTTTTATAAAATAAACTTGGCTTAAAATACTGAAATTATTATTTTAATGATGTGTGAATTTTAAAATCAAATTAACAAATTAAGAGATTTATTAACAATTAATCTCTTATAAACAAATTCTTGAAATTCTACTTTTGTTGCTTTTATTGCTTTTTTTTAAATATATGAATTTTGCAGGTGAGTCTAGTCTGGGGCATTGTGAAAACTTTGTACTGCACAACAAACACCAGCAAAGTTGCCGACATGCAGCAAACTCCGTCAGGCAAGGACTCGCGAGATGACCCCAACATCACTCCGGGTGCCAATTCCGAAGCTCACAACGGCACTGACGGTCGTCACACCGACAAAACCGACAAGGGTGACACAAATGGAGTCATTCTGAGCGAGGACAACGACACGGAGACAGACGAGGCGGAGCAGCAGGACCAGAATTTGACAACAATTGCCACCGGGCTTGCCATCAATCAAGGCGATTTTTTCTTTGGCGACGGGGCTGAGGGTGAAATGGACCAGCTGCACGTTGACTATGAACAGATGAACACTTTCGACATGATGCAGCAGGACTGGACACTGCCGAGTGAGGCGTTCAACTTGCGGCACGAAATCGAAGACAGGTCTCCACCTCCTGAACAGTTTCCGAATCACTGTTCTGTTGACATGATTGATGGTAATTTAAAAAATATATTTACAAATCAATTGTTATTGCCATTTTAATCAACAATTAGAATTTCAAATTAGGAAATAATTGTAATTAAGATAAAGTTGTGAGCTTTAATTATTTTTCATTTCTTTGTATCTTTTGCAATTATTTTACAATTAATTATATAATTTCCACCAAAAAACCAAATTTTGCACTTTTCTGATCAATTTTTTTTTTAATTGTGTTCCAGTTACTCCTCCAGAGGAATCCAACTTAATACTACCCCTTATCAATGTTTCTGGTTTGCCCCGCATGAGTCTGTTTGACCCGAGTGAGGTCGTAGCGTCTGCACTAAACAGGCACGCCGAAAGTAGTGATGTACAAACCGCAGCTTCTGTTCTTCTAGTCCTAGGAGAGAAAAGGGCAGCTCACATTGAGGAGTGTAAACAGGAGACGTGGTTGCTCGGATACTTAGAACTCCTCGGCAGACACAAATTGTGGAACACAGCCACAAAAGTAATAAATTCTTCCACTCAGTCAATTTAATGTAAAAATCAGCTTTTTTAATGTATTTATCGTCAATTATTGTTTCTCGAAAAGAAAACAGAGAAAATTATTATTCTGAAGTACAATTAGCAATAATATTTGACAAGGAGGGGAAATTATGTTGGAAAATTTTTGATATCAATGAAATTATTATTATTATTATTTTTTAATTTGAGGGCTGAAAACATAACAAAATTAAATCATTAGCTGGTTTAAAGTAAATTCAGTTTCATTTTAAATTATTACATTATTATATTACATATTTTTTCTGATTTTTTCCTCAGGTCATTAAGTTGAGTTGGTTGCCGAGCATTCACCAACTGAACCAGCAGAGCACTACCCTACCAACGAACTGTGCCAGTTGCAGTCGACCTCTGCGCCGGAGTGGCTGGCAGTGCGACAACTGCCACCACCCTTGTGGCAAGTGCGCCGTCTGCAACGAACTGGTCAAAGGTATTTACTCCTGGTGCCAGGGCTGCTCTCACGGCGGCCACTTGGCCCACATGCAGGACTGGTTGGCCAAACACAGGTCGTGTCCCGCTGGTTGCGGACATGCCTGCGAGTACGACTGAACGAACTTGTTTTAATTTGTCCAAAGAGCATGTTTTATAAAATAAAATATTATACAAGGCTGTTAATGTACGAATGAACAGTTTTATTTTTATAATCCTCCTCTGCGCGCGAAACACTGTCCAGGTTTTCAAATTCTACAGTTTCTATTTTTTTTTATTCCTTGGTCAGTTTTTTTTTAATTTTTGTGTGCAACGTTTATTTGAAACAAGCTGTACATCACCACAAGCACTCTATGATTAATGCGTTTTGATAAACAACCTCACAATTTTTAATCCTTAGCAAATACTCTCATAAACGGATAGTTCGAAAAACAGAACAAACGCGCTCGCTTCTTTTTTTCCTGTATTTACACGATGGCTTTTCGAGTATATAATTATATATTAATTATGTACATTCATTTTCGGGGAAATTATGCCAACTAAACAGGAACAAAGATAGCTAAAAATTAAAAACTCTATAAAAATCTAGCCGCTTTAAAATACTATTGGCACATTAACACTAATAAGTAATGCATGACGTGTGTGAAATGCTTCAACAGAACTGGAATATCTGGACGGTGCTTGGCTATCTCTTGAATGGTTTGTTTGTTGGTTCTGCATGATGATGCGCTCGATACTTGTCAGTTGCTTCAGTATTTGACACAGCTCGTTCTGGAATAAAGTAGAGATTCTCGGGAGCAATCGAATGCTTTGCTGAAAGGCTGCTGCTCTCTCATTGTCAATCGCAACCTGTCAATGACAACAATTTTAGTCACAAAATCAAATCAATTGAATAAAAACTCACGAAAAGACATCGTCTAATTGATAATTCACAACTTCGTCCATGTCTTGTTGCTGAGGAGCTGCTTGAGAGCAGGTCATCTTACAAAATAAACATTTTATAGTGTAAAAATGAGTCAATTTTTCTTTAAAATAAGTACCTGTGTATACGAAATGTAAAATAGGGCATCATCCTCATAGGTCTCCAATGCTGGCTGGTGCACATGAGGCAGCACACTTGACGTCCTCATCATTGTCTAAGTAAAAAGATCAAATAATTTTTAAAAATCAAGTTACAAATTTAGAATAGAATTTTAAAATTACTTATAAAATGACACATTAAATTTTCATAAGCATTATAAATTTCAAATAAAAATAAGATTATTTGAAAATACCCTTTAATGAATAAGTGTTAGTGTAGTTAATTTTGAATATGTATTTCATTGAATTTAATTTATTTGTGTAAAAAAGCATAAATAGTAAATAAACTTACTCTGAATGATAGGGACACCGCATTGATGTTTGTGTTGACCTGGTGGGCTGTTCTGTTGACCCTGATTCTGTCAGTCTCACTTTCAGTGCTGGCCAGCGAGTGCACAAGACACAACTGCGCCCTCCTGGCCGTCGCCTTGGCCTGGGCGTGGATGCTGCTGGGCATCGAGCTGCCGTCCAAGTTCATGACGGGCGCCTCAGGGAGGAGTAGCCTGCCCTGAGCGTCGGCGAGTACTCCTCCGTACAGGGTGGTGCTTGAAACTATTGCGCTGGCCAAGCGAACTCCAAGCGTACCATACAACATTGCTCTGTAATAAAGATTCAAATTTAATAAAAAAAAATTTATACATTTAAAAATAAACACTAAACTTAATTTCAAAATTTACAAATTAAAGCTTTATAATAAGATATTTTTTGTCAATAATGAAATTTTTATATTTAATTTGTTTTATTATTTTAATTTAATTGTAAAATTTTATTTAATATTCCAATTGATAAATTAAGCCAGATTTTACTATAAAATTTTTATCTGATTATAAAATTATTATTTATTGGTTAGAGGTTAAACTTTAAAGACAATAAGATTTGAAAATGAATTCAATGAAGTTGACATTTTTGAGAATTTCTCATCTTACTATTAGAAAAAAAATAAAAGAAATAAAATTAACTAGTATAAAATACTCAAGTGGAGCTTGCCTTTGGGTACAGGCCGACAAGACATTTTCTTTTGGCATGATCCCTTCCTCCCAAAAAAAATAAAGGTTTGAATGGTTTGAATTTGAATAATTTTTCACCTTGAGAGATTTCCCTGAAAGAAGGGAGGCTGCAGGAGGGACAGGGGCACAATGATCCTGTTTGCCGTCGGCTCGTAGGTGACCTCGGAACCAACCAGGGCGCCCGCCCATCGGTTCTCTTCTGAAGGTGACTTGTACCTCCTGAGCGCATCGTCCCTTCTGATGAACACCACACCGTATTTGATGTTTGTGAAGAAGTCCTTTTTCTGGATGTAGAAATCGTAGTAATACGTTTCCAAGTACGAGTTTTCCAGCATGAACTGCGGGAAGCCCACTTGGATTCCCATGACCGACACCTTTTTAACCAAATTGATTATTTTTTTATTTTTTATGTAAGCATTAATTTTTCTAATATACCTTTTGGAAAACGTGGTCCTTCAGATCTTCAGGCATCCAGTTTGAGTTTGCGATCTCATCACTGGCAACTCCTCGAAGGTCCTCAAACATTTCTGTGACCTATTGAAATTTTTATTTTTATTAAAATAAATAAAAATTCCAAAATATAAAATTTAGCAGCAAAATATACAGGTTAGTTTTTATAAATTTCAGGGAATTATTATAAAGAATGAATTTTAAAGTTAATTTTTCAATGAGGGGGTTCTTTGAGATAATTAATCAGCCACTTACAATTTTGCGTTTCTGTTCAGTGTCAGTCTCTGATTTCTGGTACATGGCAGCCACTGCCAGTCCCATGAACTTCTGCAAAGTGCTCACACACATTTCCCATCTTGGCACCGGTTCCGCCAAACCTTTTGGAATAATAGCAAAAAGAAATGTTTTAATTATTTAATTACTCCATAAATTTGGATAGTTTAAGTCGAAGAATTTAAATTTATTAAAAATATTAATTTCAAGAAAATTATGACAGCTTTTTTTACTATTATTCTGTTTAAACTTGTTCAGGATTGCTTTTTTTATTTCCCCATAACAACTGCTGTCTGACTTCTGTTTGAACCATGATAATGGATTAATAGATTTTGAAAAAAGAAACCAAGACTATTAATTGTACCTGTGAGCTCTTTGTTGTATTCGTTGACAATGTCAGTGAATTCCTGTGACAAGTAAGGAAGGTAAGCCGAGGCAAAAGTCCACAAGACGTAGTTGTTCAACGCGCTAAAATTGCACATTAAAATTGATTAATTTAATTAAAATTATTAATTTTTAAAGACAACCTTCTGTCAGTTGTCGAGATGATTCTGGAGATGGTGCTCAAGTACTGCTTGGAAACGACCAGAATTTCGGTGGTCTCGGCGATATTCTTCTTCGGGAACATGGCGTTCAGAATTTGCAGCAGCGGAATCTGCGATCAAAAGCCGGTACTTGACAAATTGCGCACGATTGACAGATACAAATTTTTGCAGTCCAAATAGAGGCAATAAAAATTGACCTCTGCGTCGGCAAAGGTTAAGTTGAACGCTTTAATAATAGAGAAGAGCTTCTCTCACCGATTGAGCGTGGCTCTTGAGCGCCTCCAGTGTTATCCTATTGTACGTCGTGGCCGGGTCCTGCAATTCGTCCAATGAAGGCGTAATCTCGGCGATACGCTTCTCGAAATGGAACATCTCCTCGGCGAAACTCGAAGCGTCCGGACCAGTGGCCCCCAACAGCTGGACCATGTCTTTTAAGTACCGCTTGTAAGCAATCACCACCTGGACCCGACGGAGAGAACAACTTAATCATTTTGGCTCGTGGCCACTCATTTCCGTGACATTTACAGCTTTTTAAAAGCTACGCCAGTCACAAAAAATGCAGAGGAAGAAATTTAACTTACGGGATTGTTCGTCCCTCTGTAGTAGTAACTCCTGTCAGGCAAACCAAGACCCGCCGGACTCACCTAAAGATTTTTTTTTTTTAATAATAATGTTTATTTTATTTTGATGTGAACTCACTTGGATGATGTTTTGACTTGGGTCTCTGGCGTCGACTACGACAGAAATCTTGAAAAACGGACTCACTCCGTAGTCTTTGTGGAGGATTTCGAGGACTCGAGGGAATTCCCAGGAGAGCATGTCAAAGTCTCGCAACACGTGCCAGCCACCTTGTCGAAGATTTTAGTTTTTAGAAATAAAAAAAAGTAAAAATGCGAAAATTTTAGTTTTACCTAGTTGTGTGATGGTTTTTCTGAGGGGCTGTGCCTTGTCCGCTTCCAGGTTGTCCAGAGACATGCACGACTCGTAGAAGTGTTTGATTTTCCACGAGACTGAAGATATTCTGTTTGCGTGAGGCATTGTGTTTATCAATTCTCGTATCCTTTGCCGAGCTGCAAAATATTTCAAATTAAAAATAAAACATGAACAATTATTTAGAAAACGTCTACTTTACTTTAAATTACTTAAATATTGAAACATTAAATATTCTAAAAGTAGGTTTTTTTGTATTCAAATTGACTAGATAAAATAAAATCAATCAATGTGTTCATTTTTTTATTATTCCTTTTTATCAATTTAAATTATATTCCTCAATTCTAATAAGCTTTATGTAAAGGAACATCACATCAACTACAACAATTAGGCGTTAAGCTAATTCATTTATTTAAATTGAAAGTGCAGCACCAATGATAAATATAAATTTAAAAAATTTCAAATCAAATGATTAGTTTAGTAGAGAATATATCCACAAATTTTATTAAAATTAAACGTAAAATAAAATAAGTTAGTAAGATAATCAGAAATATTTTTTTTTAAATAAAAAAAATATATTAAAAATAAACACAATATTTAAATTAAAAAGACTATGAAGATAAATAAAAATTTAATAGTTACAAAAATATAAAAATTACTCTTACTTGCAAATTCGAGCTGTCTTTTTTGGTTCCAACTCGATCTTGTTGAGGGCAATGGATGGTCAGAAAGCCAGGCCCCGCAGGAGAAACTCCTGATGTCGTCGCACGGTGACACAGTCTCGTTCATCATGTGCAACATCTGTGAACAAAATTTAAAAGAAAATTAAGTAAATTTTTAATAACATTCAAATTAAAACTCCAAAACAAAAAACAATAATTTTTTTCTTAAAATATCCCAATTTTCTGAATCAATGAACGCATTTGTTTTCCTCCGTGGAAGTGAAAAACTACGGCGCCCCAAATTAAGAGATAATTAGAAACGTAAATCTGGTGCGGCACATCCGATTCCACTTGAGGAGCGCTCGTTCAGCGTAATTACACGGCGAACTCACTCAAGACGCGCGGGTGGAAACGTACCCCGCTCGCCTATACATCTAAAAACAGCAGCCCTGCTTTGAAAGCTGCATCGTTTTGTTTTTATGTGCGTTGATAAGCATTCCTCACTTGTATCTCAAAACTTTGGAGAGGACCTATGAACCTGCTGCATGTGTGTGCTTTGGAATTTTATACATACAAGGGACGGAGCAGTGAGCCTTTCCGATTAAAAAATTTATATCCAAACCACGTGTGCAGTGCGCCTCTTGGACATTAAATTCTGAATACAAATTTTTCGAGTAAAAGTAAAAAGATTAAATAATATTTGTTAGTGGAATCAAATTTTAACAAGTCCAAGCCCACAAAAATTCAAAAGTTTACACATTAACAAATCTCGTTAGCTATAAAAATCTGCCTAAGTGATTTTCATGAAAATTTATTTCAGCACAAATTAAAACTTTTAAAGGAAATTTCCATTTAAGGTCACAGGGTAAATTTTAGATTTGATAAATATCGATAAATGAATTTTATATAAAAGAAACATTTCTTTCATTAAAAATTTTTATTTGATCTAATAAAATTAATGATAATTCACAGAATCAATTTTTAAATTTGTTTGCAACATAAAATTCAAGCACCCCTATTGCTTGCAAACAATTTTTCAACCACATTAGTTCAGGAACTATTTAAAAATAACAATTTCTTTATGTTAGTTTTGAAATCAAGGATTCACCAAAATTAAATAAAATTTAATGAAAATTTTGAGAAATTATTATGTTATTAAAAAGATTAAAATAAATAATATTTATTTTTTACAATAATTCTTAGCTGACCTATAAAAACCCCAAGTGTTTTACCACCATTAAAACAAAACTTACTAAAAAATCTCATTGCTGGTTTTTAAATTCAATTCATCAAGAAGAAAATGTCTAGTCGCTTTTCGGTTTAAAAAGCTGTGCTGTGCATCTTCATCATTGAGGATCCGGCCAGGCCGAATGACAAAACAACCAACACCAGTTAGTTTTAAAAATGGAAATTGTCGTTGAGAATAATAAGCACGAGCAGTGGGAGGACAGAGCAGCACCCATCCAAAAATAAACAACACGCAATTTAACACAGCACGCGAGAGCCACCCTCTTAAAATTCTCCAAATGCGACGTCGCATTAGTAGTGTTTTCGTCTCTTTAAAACACAATTCGATGCGCTCAAGGAGGGAAAAATAAGAGACGGGGGTGAATTTAATTTGCCTAATTATTTATTCCCCCAACTTGCCGGCTTAAGATTTTTTCACTCTGTACCCTTCACTCATTTTTATATTATAAGCTTCTCGGACAAACAAGAAGTTTGTGGTTTGAGAAATAATGCTTGATCACTTTCCAGTGCGTTCGCTCTCGCATCTAATCTCTGATATCAAATATTGACCCTATAATGCTGAGATATTGAATTACGCCACGCACCAACAAGTTAATTGATGATCCGGCAGCACAGTCATACTTTGTTTGTAAGACTTTGTTTATCGCAAGGACTGACTTTCTTTCAACAATTTTTCAAAATAAAATTCCTTATTAGATATAAAAATTGGCAGAGCGATTTTTGAAGGATTTTTCCGTTAAAATTAATATATTTGAAGCTATGGAATCTGAAGTGAAATGATTTATTAATATAGTTTTATGAGATTTTTAAGTTTTCACAATTAACAATAAATTGGGCCAAAAGTTTCTGCTCAAATACGACAATTTATTGCAAAACAAAACTGCAAAATTAAAGAAAATATTATGAGGCGCCCATATTTCCTTGGGTTTCTAATTTTTTTTAATTACAAATCATGGAAACAAGAAACAATGCCTGCACAATAAAACTGAAAACAACAATGAACAGAGTTTTGTAGTTCTGTTGGCTCTCTGATTTAAGTAGATACGAGAAATACATAATTGTATTCATTCAGAACGCCATGAAAAAATCACAATTTACTGTAATTTAAATAACTAATTAACTATAATTTACAATTCATAATCAATAATAAATCTAAGTTAAAAATTGTGTTGAAACAATATCTTTTCAGAGCAAGATTAATTCACACCGCCCAGGCTTTTACATCAGCTTAATAGTAAAAAAATTTTTTTAAACTGATGTTTCAAAAAAGAAAATAAGCATACGGCAAAAATAAAAGTAATAAAACTAATAATGATTTAATCTTGATCATGTAATAAATATATATTAAATTTAAAATAGAAATACCTAAAAGTATTTTATTTTAAGCAAAGTAAATAATTATAAAATTAATAATAAATTACTTTTAAAATATTACTTTACTGTTAATATTACTCAAAATAATTTTTTTTAGCAAATTCACAGTTATTGTTTAGCACCCGCGAGCAAGAAATAAAAATCGTCATGTCACAAGCGAAGGAGACAAAGTACAATACAGGATGAAACGCGATATACGGGGACGTGCATATTTCTCGCCGACATTATTTCTTCCCAGCACTTTTTCACGTGTGTTCATTTACACGCGCCGTGGTGTAATTAAAGATGTTCTCTCTCCTCAAGCAGCGGAAGAGAGGCCGTTTTACACAATCTGCAAGCGACGAACACACAAAAGACAGAAGCAAAAATAAGAACCACCCCCCGTCTTTTTTATCCGCTCGCGAGACAAATTAGCATAGATTTCAATGCGCTTTACATAAATTTGTCTCCAATGTCATCCGTGAGGTTTGTGTGAATAATTTTGAATCGCTTTGCATGCGATAATTTGAAAACGTCACGAAAATTCCCCCAAAACGCCAATGATTATTTAAATTCTCAGTTTGGAGTCAAATTAATTTTTAAACAATTCACTTCGATAAGAGTGGATTTAAATTTTAATTCTCATTTCAACCGTTGCCGCTCGAATCATAATGGAAATCGTGCATTTTTTTTCAAGTCATGAGAATAAAGAGAGGTCGTCCGCCCGAAATCAATGGCGGTGAAATTTGGCACCGGTGCTGAATCACGATCTCTCGGCGCCTTCTTCTGCGGAGGGCAGAGGAGTTTGCACCTGAAATACCTGCCTGCCCATCAGCAGAAGACCTGATTTCGCGGTCTGTTGGGGACACGCGAGAGCGCCCTGTTTGACAAAGGGCCCGGTTTCCAGTTGCAATGATAGCGAAAAGAAGGAAAAGCTCCTCCGTCATGCCGACTTGGCCCGACACAAAGCGCCCCGCGTGACAAGATTTTAATAACGCCTCTTTGCAAATAGTCCGCGGGTTGTTGCCTCACCCCCTCCCGTTCTAATGAAAAAGCACAAACCAAGAAAAGATGAAATTGTAAGAAAAGTCGGAAAACAAATTACCGAGTTGAAAAAAATTCCAATTTTGTTAAAAGTTGTCGTGAAAAAATAGGCTGGTTTTTATTAATCAATGTTTTTTTTTTGCTATTTTTGTATTATTTCTTGCCGTGATGAAATCTGATAGTGGGGTTAATTTATTTTTAATTATTTATTTATTTATTTACTTATTTTATTTATTTTTTAATTATTAATGAAAAATTAATATTTTTTTTCACTTCACCAAGTGACAAATTTTGCATTTTTCTTTTCAACCTTGAATTAAGAAATTTGCAATGTTTTCTGATCAATAAAATTATTGTTTTAGGATTTTTGTAAAAAAAAAACTGAATCATTGTCAGTTTCTGTATCTAGAAAACTATAAAAATAAAATTTTTTATGGAAAGAACGTAAAGGAAATCCTACATAAAAATTTAATTTGCATTTCAATATTCTACATTATTTTAGTGTTAACGCCATTTAAAATTTATTGAGAGCAACAGAATTTCAAAATTGTGATAAAATGTTCCACGTTACAAAATTAATTATACCAATTAAAGGTTTACATTTAAATAAAAATTTATTTTATATTATTTTTTTATTTTTTATCTACGTTTTGTAACAAAATGTCTTATTTAATTTATTTTCCTAAATTTGATAATTTAAAAAAATTGCATAGCTTGAAGTTGTTTAGCAAGTTTTATAATTGTTACAGTTATTAAATGATTTTTTTTTTATAAGGGCTCAACTAATAGGCAGCACACTGGACAATTTAAAAAATTAAATTAAATACCTCGTTTCAATGGTTTTAATTTCAAGTTATGATGATAATGACCGCTAGAAAAATCGAAAATCCCAAGGATAAGAAGTTTAGAATAATTCCTCTGTTACGACTGAAAATAAAGCAAATTGCATTGAAATGAAGGCATGGAATTCTAATCCCGAATTTCGTCATAGGCTTCGTGACCGGCAAGCATAACCGCGTTGGTGCACCGCGTGTGTGCATCTCGTCCTGGCAAAGCTCCACGGACGAGGCAGGAAATCTGACCCTGGAGTCAAATAGAGCTCATCTTTTTACTCCAGCCAGAGCCAGCCTATTCATTATATTATTATATTTTCCCCTCGCTTGGTGACTGACTTAACTGGTCGCCACTAAATCAAGCTCCGTGACTGTAATAATCATTCGGTAGGAAAAGCACCGGCATAAATCACACCACGGCAGCAATCGCTTCATTTTTTTTTCTACTTCTTCGAGCTGTTCGAAATCGCATCTCCTTAAAATTGCCGCGCGAAGGAGTGCCGCGCTAAAAAGGAGAGTCTGAATAATTCTTGTTTGGCAGACAGGTTTGCTCCAAGGTTCAAGACCAAATGAACAGACAATTTAATCTACTCAAAATTTTTAATTAATCATGTAGTTAAAAAATATGATTGTTAAATGACAAATTGAATCTTATTAAACA